CTTTCCAACTCTAGGGGGCGGTGCTTATCTCCATTTCAAAGCCAAAGAGCCAGCGCTGCCTGAAGACATCTCCGTGGTCATGTGGCTGGCATGACTAAACGCTGAAGGCACATGGAACGCTGTTACCTTCCCATCAAAGGTGGTCCCTATTTTTCCACTTCCATTTTTACATGCTTTCGAACTGCTAGGTTGGCAGAAGCTGGGACAAGTAACAGGAGCTCACTCGGTTACGCAGTGCTAGGGATTCGAACTGCCAACCTTTCTGATCGACAAGCTTAGCGTCTTCGCCACTGAGCCACTGCAACATAACAACATCTATAGACTATGCAAAAGACACTATCATCCAGCCACCCCAAAAAGGAACAGAAAGACCGAAGCACCTTGCCACCAGCAATCAGCAACCCAGATCAGCATAGATATCCAAGGTTGACATTAGATTAGCAATCAAGTAAACAATACTTCAATCAAAAAACTGCCAAAGAAGCAAACAGCCCAATAAAAAAAGTTTCTAAGATCACTCCCACTAACACTGACAGGCAAGGCACTATAATATAAACTGACAGCAAACTGCACTCCTTAGTAACACTGATGATATTACCTACTTTGGGTAATATACAAGAAAACAAGCAAGCTCAGGGGGCACCAAGGATCCCGCATTTCAACCTTGAATTACAAATGTCCTCCTTTATTAGTATCACCTGAAATGGGCAGCAATATTGTCTTTAGGCTCCAGAAACTGGAATATTATTGCTTCTCAATGTAGGAATGCAGTTTGGTGGTTTATGTGGCTACAACCACAAACGCTATTCCCTCCTGCAACCAGGCACAGCTCCCAGGCTTGCTGTTCCAAACACACATAAAAAACTCCGCAGAATTCCATGTTTTGGATGATAGATACAACAAACCACAGCACAACCGGTTGTAGTTCATTAGCTACACTGAAATGCTGGAGCAGCTAGTAGGCCAGATTACAGCAACCAGCAGTGGCAAACTTTGATCCTGGCACTTAAAAGTTCACACATAACCTGAATGGAAAGCTGGCCTACAGTGGAATGTTCTTCTGATCTACGGTCTTTGGATCAGACAGAAGAAATTAATCCACATTCTATGGAACGTTACTGAAGAGTTCAAACGCCAAATGCCTTGGCTCTGAACATGCGTCATTTGCGTTTTATACTTTTTTTGCTAGCATTAGCCAGACAGTTTCTTTAAATGAACCATTTTTTAGTTATTTAGGAAGTGCATAACTCAAATTTTCATTATAATAATTTCAAAGCTGGAGTAGAAATAAATTAAAACAATGAAAGCATATGATGGTTAAACATTATGCAAGAAAGCAAGAACAGTAATTCATCCATAGCTGTTACTGTCACGCCAACAAACATTCAAAATCTAGGCCAAAAAAATAAATCTTCAGTTGATACTAAAAACTGAGAAGTCTAACTCAATATTGAGAGACACTTTACTGTGTTACTGAAAATGAAGTGTTGTCAAAGGGGTGTCGCCATGTTATTGTCAGGGCACTCGCACCCCTTACCAATTTACAGTATATAAATAGTAGTGTAAGTTTGATTCACTGTCACTCTATCCAATGATAGAGTGACCTATGTAGGTTACTATCAAATTTTTCTTGGACAATTTTGATTCCCTTCTAAACCTAGCATCAAAATAATTAACATTTCAGAAAGTTGTATCCCGTAAAATAATAATATTCATTTATTATTGCTCCATCTGCCTTTTGCTCAGGGTCTGTTCCTTTTTCTAATGATCTGATAACCTCAGTAAAATATTAATTAAAAGATATCTGCTTTGCCTCTTGGAAAATATGGCTCCATCTGAGAAACTTCTTGTGATAGCTGAACTCTTGTTCAGGCCTCCTTCAGCTAGAAAGTAGGTGAAGGGAATGGAAAAAAAAAATAGCACAACATTAATTTGCTCAGGAGGACCAAATTCTAAGTTTACATGTTTGAGCAGGAGCTACAGAATTGTGTGATCCCTCCTCCAATGCTTCAAGTTTTACTGAGGTTATTCCAAGTAATATAATATACTCAAAGTATACTCCAAGTAATGTAATTAACACTTGGATGCATAAAAAGTAGGATTAGGCAACAATTAAATTTCTCTTTTTCAGTACTCCTTCAACCCTCTCCTTGCCACCTATGAAGCGGAGTAAGAATTTCACATTATGATCAAGCTGCTAGAGAAGACATATTTAGAAACAAACAAAAATATCTAGCAGACATACAGGGCTGCATAGCAATTTGAATTCAAAGGGAAGGCAGTTGTGGGAGGCCAGAAGAAGACGCAGCTGCTTTCAAATGACCCTGAGAAGGGCTATGGGGCACACCCACCTATGCTCTGAATCCCAGTTTTACAGTCTTCAAATCTGGTCCTTGGCACTATCTTATTATTCAGTTAGTTGATGCCATTTATTAGTTTCTGTCTTCCAGACAAGTAACACCTATGCAAAACTCTTTTTTTTCTTGCAAAAATTAAACAAAGAATAAAGCTTCTGCTCATCCAGAATGTATCTCTGAGCCTTCCAGCAACAGCACCATATGTAGCATTCCAAAAGGACATGAGATTTTTTTTCTCCCCCCCCCAACAACATTTCTATAGGCATTTTATAATCTAATAATATGAGAGGAAAAATGACTCCAAAGTTGTGTATAGCTGACTGGAATTCAGACATCTGTTCTGATTAAAGAGCTTCCTGAGTGGGGGTCCTCCATCCCACTATAAATATTTAGCTTTTAACTCAATTAAAACAATATAAGACAGGTTTTATTCTCCACAACCTGCAACTGGAATTGATGTACTAGATTTTTCTGGGGTTGCCTTAAAATGAGAACCAAATTTTTACCGCACCATCTAACTGTTCATAACACCCCCTCTGTAAACAAACTCAGGAAGAGTGGCAGTGGTATGAAGAGTTGACTCTCAAGACGGGATGGAAACAAGAGTAGAATAGTAGCAAAATCTTAAGAAATGAACAACAGAAAGAATCTCCTTTTTCAACATCATTAACATCTTGAGCAATTGTTGACTGGAACAAGCCCCTTAAAATCACCACCTGGTCCTATTTTCAGCAGTTGGTCTTCCTTCCAAAACTGTCATGGCTCATTTAGATAGCATAGCACATTTTTTCCCCTAAAGGATTATTCTCAGGGATGTTGGAATTCAAAACATAATGAGATACACTCATGTTAAAAAAAATACCTCTATAACATAACCACTAGTCACGTTTTTCAGAAATTGTTTTTTTCTGTTTTTTCGACCACATGGAACAAACAGCGTATTAAAAGAGGAGTATAAAGTACGTGGAATATTAAAACAAACTGCTCTAATCTCTGATGCAGAGAAAATTTGAACTGGCAATTTCTCTTCAAAGCATTGGAAAATATGGACTTTAATGAGAATTTTATTCAAGGAATCAACTAGTGTATATATCAAATGGGGTTTAATGGTGATTTGACTAAACCCTGTTTTATCCAGAGGGGGACAAGACAAGGTTGTCTTCTGTCCCCTTTTTTGTTTATTTTGGTTCTTGAAATTTTGAATAGATATTAGACAAGATGAGAAGATAGTGGATCTAAAAATTAAAAATTAGGCTTTGAAATTCAGAGTCTTTGTTGATGATTTAGAGTTGATTTTACAAGACCCTCTGAAAGAGATCAAGTCTATGATAAAAAAAATTGAAAGATTTTGTGCACTAACAAGTTTTAAGATTAATAAATGAAAAGCAAAGATGTTGGTAAAAATGACTACACAAGATCAAGACAATCTGATGAAAACAAAAAAAATGGTTTTAAAGTAAAAAAAAGTTAAATATTTGGGTGTTATTTGACTAATTTGAATTGTACAGTGTTTCAAAATAACTAAGTCAAGGTATGGTATGAAGTTAAAAAAGATACATTGAGATGGGGGAAATGCAATTGTTACTGAGATTTTTAAAGAAATCCCATTCATATCCCATTCTATCTTCTCCCCATATTTAATATCTATGTAAAACTAATGGAGTTTGACTTAAGGTTTTGAATGGGTATTATCAGTATCCTGACTGCCTTAAGATTGATTCAGCCTTCCATCCTTCCGAGATTGTAAAATGTGGACCCAGACTATTAGAAGCAATATGCTGATATTGTAGATCACTCAAGAGAGTGCTGTAAAGCATTTTAGAGCGATATACAAGTCTCCGTCCTACTGTTCCTTACCATCTAATTCCAGGGATGTAAACAGCATTCTTGACTAATGCATTCAGTTTAAAAATAGTCTGTATGAAAGTGAATATGCAAAAATTAAATCCAGACAAGAGAGATGCCATTGGTAAATAGGAATCTGGACAATGATTTTTGTACAAGCTAGAGATTAAGACTATTAGAAGTAAAAGAAAATAATATAAAGTTGGTTTATTTGGTTAAAGTTAAAAGAAGATATCTTACTTCTGGAAAACCTTAATGGACCTTCTGCTGACCCAAGAATTAAAAAGATGTTTTATGGATTTGCTTATAAATGACAGTTGGGATATGGGATGAAGAAATAAATCTTTGTAAACTGAGAGGCAGTAAAGAGTTGTTAAATTTGTTTATGAAAGTTGGAAGTCACTTCTTTAAACATTCATTTTCTCTTGCATTGTATTTCTACTTTTCCTTTTCCTTTTTATTCTTTTCATTCTTTTTTCAATTACTATAATTTTCTCCTAAAAATAGTATGTATACACATCCACCCCAATAACCTATTGTAGTTTCAAATTTCAGATAAGGACTAATTCAAAAAACACTATCTATGTATAAGAATGCATGTGGTACAGGGATGAAAAAAAAATATTTCTATCAGGATATCCTCTATTTTTATACATAACTCCACTTATAAAAAGGTCATTACAATTGAAGACAACAGCTATTTAAGCAATTTTTTTAAATGAATAATGTGAACAGGAGTTAACCAATGATCCTTAAAGGAGATATCAGAATGAAATATTAAGAGAAACAAAGACATACTTCATCTCTAGCACCTCCTCCAAATGCTTCCTCCGTTCAGCCCGCAAGTTGGTTAAATGGGTTTCCTTCTCAGCCAGAGACTGCTGAGTAGAGGACAGCTTTGCTTTCATAGATTCCAGTTCTTGTTTTACTTTCTCCATAGCCATCATCAACTCTTCTACCTAAGGAATTTAAGAATGATAAAGAGGAAGAAGAGAGAAAGTATGTGATTATGAAACAATATTTGCCATTCACCAGAGTTATAGCGTGATGGAACAAAAATATTGCAAATGGTCAACTTATCCCTGTTGAAATAACACAGTTAGCTTAAAATAACATATATTGATACTATTATAAATTACAGGCAGCACTTCTTTATTACACATATGTCTATTCACTATTGGGTTTTAATTTATAATCACTGATAATAAATCTTTTATGCCCTATCTTCATTAAAATGTAGAGAAAAGTTACATTACAATTTTTTAATTACAAAGCCACTGTTCCTAATTTCAGCATTTCAACAAAACTGTACTAACACATTCTCAAATACATTAAAATAATTCTCTTATGCACATTCAGAATATTTGAATAGATCTTTCTCACTCAGAGCAAAGATTTAGTTAATATGAAGTGAAGGTTGTTCTGTAACTAATTGAAAAGTTTTGTGTTTATGCTGGAACTCTATTCCATTTTGCTTATCTCCATGGTTTGATTAAAGGCAGTGGACATCTTATTGATCTATTAGCTCTTGAACCATCTTGCACTTCGCTGGACCATCAAGAAAGAATATCTGATAAAGTTCAAAATAAATTGCAAGGAAGAGTAGATTGCTAAAGGAGAAAGATACCAGCACATGTTAGTCTGAAGAAATCAGAAACAGGACAAGAAGACAACCCCTTCCTTATTTAACTAAACCCAAAACCAATAAAAGAAAGGTAGTTATGGAAGAAGTTTTATTCAGAGGCAAATTTATTTATCAAGCCTCTTCCTAGAGCCTGGATGATTTCAATAGGATAGAACCAGAGATACTCCTGAATTCTTGTTAATATCACATTGCAGACAGCAACGTGACACAACAATTCTGGTGAAATACCATCTCCTATTGCAGGGTTGTCAAACTCGATTTCATTGAGGGCCACATCAGGGCTATATCTGACCTCGGGGGACCAGGGTGGGGGTGGCCAGCTCAACACTCGTGTTGGGGGCGCCTGCAAGCAAAAATAGGCTCCTGGGCTCAGTTTTCAGTTGTGACGGCTTCCTCCAATCTCTGCCAGCAAAAATGGAGCTCAGGAGTACTGCCCACCGCCACCACGAGCTCCGTTTTTGGCTGCGACAAGCTCCTGCAACCCTCTGCCAGTGAAAATGGAGTTCCAGAAACTGAGTTTTTGCTGACAAAGGCACTGCAGGCTGATCCTTTGCTGGTTCCAGGGCGGCCCCACAGGGCATATCTAAGCAACCTGTGGGCAAGATACGGCCCCCAGGCCTTGAGTTTGACACCCCTGTCCTATTGGGGAAGACAAAGATGGAATGAAATGAGAACCATTATTGCAGCACACTCAAGCAATGGCTCTCAAGCTGTCTTGTTTGTCTATGCCCTCACTTTCCTGGAAAATGAATAAAAGGAGGATCATTCATGAAAAACCTCACAAGTGGGTAGAAAAGGCAAGTTAAATTGGATCTGCAGGCCAGAAATTTATAATTGAATTGCCAAATTATATTGCTAGGTGTAACAATATCATGTCATTAGTGGAATACATGCTAATAATTTATTTATTTATTTATTTATTTATTTACTTACTTACTTACTTACTTACTTTCTTATTTATTCAATATTAAAAAGATTTGCATGGCACCCATTTTAAAACACAACTATGGGTGTCTTACAATACCAGTAAAACACTCAAACTATAGAACATATAACTGTAACATGGTTGACTTAAATCCTGCCTCCTCTGGCTTCCTGTAGTCCTCCAAATGTGCCCTAGATGGATTTCTTTTTTAAATAGATTTGAGGGGCAGTAACAGGGAAAGGGAAAGAAAATATGAGTACCAAGTATATTCAATACAACTCCCTCCCAAAATACAGCAATAGACTTACATACCTATTCATAATCTAAGAGGCTTATAGTGCCAGCATATTGCCCCCAACAATCTGGGTCCTTGTTTTACCCAACTTGGAAGGATGAAAGACTAAGTTAACCTTGAGCCGTTCAGAATGGAACTATAATTATAACCATAATAGAAGTGAAAATAAAATTTATCCAAGTCAGATCTCTCTTCTTTAAAATGATTGGTGAAAATATTTTCCCATAAAATTGCTAACAGTTCTATGAGTGACTAAGATTTGCAAACCTCAGAGCCCAATGCTAAGTATTTGTTTTCTCTTCTGGCCATCTCTCAAACTTTAACATATCCCGGTAGTAGACAAACCTCAGTTTCAGATTATGGCAATTATTCAACAATAAGAAGCAGAGCATGCTGAAATATTATCTCTTGGACGATAAAGCATTTGTTAACAGCAGAAGTAGATGTTTATACATTGGTTTAAAAAGGAAAACCACATATATTGAGTATTCAACAAACCCTGCAAAATACATTAATCTATAGGACATCAAGTTACCAACACTTCATGGAAGCAATATAGAAATGAGATACTTTTAGCATAACTGACAAAAAAACTCCCAAACGCTCTCTTCCATATGCTTAATATTATGTAACATCTAATGCAATTCCTTCGGAGTAATAAGTGTATCTGGATATATTCAAAAATCCAGTCTTCTGGATTTAAGATTCAAGTGTTGAAACTCTTTTTAATAAAAATGGACCACTAAAGACACAGAAATTGAGAATATTCTGAAATACTGTATTATCAAATTGTATTCCTTTGGATCTACATAAAATATACTGCTACACGTTTACGTTGTAATATCAGTTATGTGTTTTAAGGTCAATCATTACCTGCTTCCAGTAGAAGTCATATGGACAGAACTAACGATGCAAATCCACAAATATCCAACAATTTTTTTAGATAGACAAAGACTCTTATGGGGAAAAAATGCTAAATGTATAAATATCTGGAAAAGTTGAAAAAAGCTTTTTATTATGAAAATATTTTTGAGAGTGGAAGATGATGCTCTTTTTCAATGTATGTTTCATTGTTTGGAAACAGATTGTTTGACTTGGCTACTGAAACTAATCTTTGGGGCCTACAGACTCAATGTGATATTTATTGCAACCTCAACCAGATACATTTCCTAACTTCTTAAGAGTTTTATTTAAGAAGAGACATGCTATAATGGGCTTGGGAGACAGGAAGAAGAGCCGCAGCCAAGTCTGACAAGACATAGCTCAGCTTGCAGAAGGAATGGTGGTGAAGAAAGCATCTCAGAAGGGACCTTCCCTAGTTCTCTGGAAAGGAAAGACAGGCGATGGGGAAAAAAGAGCTTTCCAAGATTATATTAATGTAATCTTACAATAAATGTAGTATTAGTAGTACTCGTGGTTTTGGTTTCTTTTCTGAACTACCTCAAAGAGCTCAACAAGAGAGAATTTTATTCTCCGTGTGCAGAATTTTCAATCCAGGGGTGGGTTTGAAAAATTATAGTAATCGGTTCTCTGCCTAGTTGTTGGGTGGGCATAGCCGTGGGGGATGTGGCTTACTCAGCCTCCTATACCACCGGGGGCGGGCATTTTCACCCTTCCCAGGCTCCGGAGGCTTTCCTTGAGCCTCTGGGAGGGCAAAAATGTTCTCCCCTTGGCCCCGGAGGCCCTCCGGAGACTTGAATGGGGTGTGTGGAGACTCCTGGGAGGGGCAGGACGGGGCCAGTCCTTCCAACTACCGGTTCGACAAACGAGATGCAAAATTAGCATCTGGTTCACCTGAACCAATCCAAACCAGCTGAATCTCATCCCTGACTCAATGTGATTGTTCAAATAGCATAATATGGTGGCAAAGCTATAGCATGAATCAGGGGGAAAAATACCCTAAAATATTTCCATCACAGAAAAAAACAACCAAAAACCATTCTTCAAATCTATCTACCTTTCCAGACCTGAAGAGAAGAAATAGAAGTTGCAGCTTGTTAAGCAATGGAAAAAAGAAGGGATTAAAAAAACTGAAAAAGACAATAAACTGGCACTAAATACTACTACAACCAATAAGGTTTCTATCTCTCCCTGCATGTGGGCCTCTACTTAAATAAAACTGTCTGTTTAACTGAAGCAGCTGCTTGATTTAACTTGTAGCATTGAAACATTTACTTAAATAAAAATAATTCCTCTATGAAAGTCAGAAACTTGAAATGAAGGTGATAGCTGGATTTATGGGTTTGTTGGTAAGCCGAAAGGCTATTGTACAGCTTTAAAAGGTTTTCTATTCTTAATTTGCACTAGTCCTTTTAAAATTTGATTTAGAGATCTAAATCAATTTAATATCAGTAAAAAACCAACAGCCTTAAAGACCAAAAACACCCCCCCAAAACAGCAGAACACATCTCAAAAACTAATTCCAATCTCACTGTCTGTCTAATTTGTTGGAACATATCTCAAAAAAATATATATATATGAAGAATGCTCTAGACGTCTCTGTTCACTTCCTGTTCTTTACTGTCTTCTCCTCCAGAGAATTCACCCATGTCTGAGCCAGTAGACTCCCCTTTTGCATCAGATGATTAATTTACATATCAATGATAATTTGATAACACCATTTGAATTTACTCAGTACACGGTGGACAGAGGAAACATATGTAATAGATTAACCTATGGGAGCACTTTGGTTAGATAAACTTTGGGACAGAGTTGTATCAGAAGATAATTAAAAAAAATATCTATGAACAAAATTTAAATAGAACTGTGATGAAAGGTCAACACTGATTTAAACACTGAAGAATGAAATAGTGAATATAGGTTTGAAGGCAATTTTTTAAACAGCTAATTTTACATTGTGACTTATTCAAAGTAAAGTTGTTAGAAGAATCTTTAATATAAAAACTAGACTTTTGATGCAAAACTCATGAAAAATGTTGCAGTTGTTTTAAGTTATTCCTGATGTGTTGTCAACCATATCAATTTGAATGTGCTGTCAAGAGCTTTTTTAAAGAAGCATAGCATGGAGAAGAGAAAACTGAAGAGTTATAAATTTGCTAAAGTCTTTTGTGGACAAGGTCTCCATTTTTCCAGAAAAGCAAAGAAGATGAGCTCTCACGTCTTATGGCTATATTTATAGAAAAAGAGTCATAAATGCACATCAACATTCTTCCATTGAATCAACCTGCCTTCCATTGAGGACCTGTATACTGCACAAGTCAAAAAGAGGGCTGTGAAAATATCTACAGAGCCCTCACATCCTGGACATAAATTGTTCCAACTTCTACCCTCAAAACGATGCTATAGGGCACCGCACACAAGAACAACTAGACACAAGGACAGTTTTCCTCCGAATGCCATCACTGAACTTAACAACTAATTCCCACAACACTGTCAAAAAGTTCACTAAGACTGTACTACTGTTATTCTTCTCATCCTTCTTAGTACCTATCTCTTCCCACTTATGACTATAACCATGTTGCTTGCATCTTTATAATTTATATTGTTTTATTTGTTTTTTAGTATGATTTGATTGCTTATTAGTAACCTATGACTATCCTTAAGTGTTGTACCATATGATTCTTGATGAATTATTTTATTTTATTTTTCTTTATGTACACAGAGGGCATCTGCACCAGAGACAAATTCCAATCACCCTTGGCCAATAAAACATTCTATTCTATTCAGAAATATTATTTCGTGTCTCTTTTCTAATCCTCTATAGCAAAAATTCTCATGTTTAAAAAAAAACAAAAAAAACAACAAATAAGGTACTGATAACAAATAATCACGTTTAAAGAAAATGTTTTTCAGGGGCTTCTGGAAGATGTATAGCAAACTAAAGATGGCTCCATAAAAGCAGGGCCAATGACTGCAGCAGAGACCAAGGAACCAGTGAGAAAATCAGTTCCTTGGGACCTCTCTAGATAAGATGATGATGGGAAATCACTCACATGTGCTCTGGACAACTGAGGACTTTGTGGGACAAAGATTTCTGTAGGGTTGAGCATCAAGAAAGGGTGGGATTAGTTTTAGAAGGACACTAACTTCACAAACTTCACTTTCTAATCATTTATGGAAATTGCTCATTATTTCTAAGCTATTAGAGGCCTTCAGAATGACTTGTTTACACACACTATTGTAAGTAGGAATAGATGACCTTGGTAGGAAAAAACCTAACTGCATTTGTATGTGTTGTATACATACACTGATATATGTGTCAGTACACACATAAAAACATACAGACCTGACTATATCTCTAAGAACATTGGGATAAAAGCACCAATGCATGCCTATTTCATGTTGCACATTCAATCCAAATGCCCATAGTATTGTTCTGAAATGTCTGTATGGGCTGGGGACTGGAAATACTGTTTTGCAGAGGATTCATTCCTTCTTGAAAAACATCTTTTCGGGGAAGGAAAGGTCACATCAACTCCTTATTTCAGGGTATTCATTCTCTTCTACCTTATTTAACAACTACGTGAAATTACTGGAAGAAATCATCTGTCGCTTTGGCTTTGTTAACATTAGTATGCTTCAGGAGCATCAATATGCCAATGATTCCTAACTTTATACCATGTCTCCAGGCCAAAGAGGCAATGAGCAGGAAGTCCAGACCAGTACTTGGAAACTGGCGAAATAAAACGGCTTTCATTAGTACAGAAATTCTCTAATTCCATGGAACTTCAATCGCTAGTTCTTCATGGGGTTGAACTTCCCCAGAAAGAGCCAGTGGGTGATCAGGGGTACTTCTTGGACCTATGACTCCTGCTGGAGCAGCAGGTGAATGTCATAGCAAGCAAAACCTTCAGCAACACAAAGAGATACCACACGGGCGCTACTTTCAAAGATGACCTGAAAACTGCAGCTGGCCCAAAACACAGCTGCTAGCAAGGAAAGTTGCTGACCTCATCCTCTTTGGATTACAGTTTCATTTCGGGGGTGGGGGTCAAGACTAAAGCAAAAAACCTCATTTCTTCTTTGAATACAATATTCTATTTATATGTGGAAAAATGCCCTTTGTGAGATTTATTTTGATAGCTGATAGCTACAGTTTTTGAAAAAAAGTATATTCAAACAACGTATTTATGAAGGGTATCTGACCTCATAACCATTCTTAAGATCTACTACAAGTGAAACTCAAAAAATTAGAATGTTGTGCAAAAGTTCATTTATTTCAGTAACACAATTTAAAAGGTGAAACTAATATATGAGATAGACTCATTACATGCAAAGCAAGATAGTTCAAGCTGTGATTTGTCATAATTGTGATGATTATGGCTTACAGCTCATGAAAACCCCAAATCCACCATCTCAAAAAATTAGAATATTACATTCAATCAAGAAAACAAAGATTGTACATAGAACAATATCGGAGTTCTGAAAAGTATAAGCATGCATATGTTACTCAGTACTTGGTTTGGGCCCCTTTTGTAGCAATTACTGCCTCAATGTGGTGTGGCATGGAAGCTATCAGCGTGTGGCACTGCTTAGGTGTTATGGAAAACCAGGATGCTTCAATAGCGCCCTTCAGCTCTTCTGCATTGTTCGGTCTCATGTCTCTCATCTTTCTCTTGGCAATGTCCCATAGATTCTCTATGGGGTTCAGGTCAGGCGAGTTTGCTGGCACAGTAATCCCACGGTCATTGAACCATGTTTTGGTGCTTTTGTCAGTGTGGGCAGGTGCCAAGTCCTGCTAGAAAATGAAGTATGCATCCCCATAAAGCTTGTCTATGGAAGAAAGCATGAAGTGCTCCAAAATCTCCTGGTAGATGGCTGTATTGACCCTGACTTAATGAAGCACAGTGGACCAACACCAGGAGATGACATGGCTCCCCATATCAACACAGACTGTGGAAACTTCACACTGGACTTCAAGCATCTTGCAGTGTGTGCCTCTCCATTCTTCCGCCATACTCTGGGTCCTTGGTTTCCAAATGAGATGCAAAAGTTGCTCTCATCAGTAAAGAGGACTTTGGACCACTGAGCAACAGACCAGGTCTGTTTTTCCTTTAGCCCAAATAAGATGCTTCTGACGTTGTTTGTTATTCAGGAGCAGCTTGACAAGAGGAATACGACATTTGAAGCCCGTGTCCAGGATCTGTCTGTGTGTGGTGGCTCTTGATGCACTGACTCCAGCCTCAGTCCACTCCTTGCGGAGTGGCTCCTGGCTCCTCCTCAGGCCATTCAAAAGTGTCCCCAACACTTTTGAATGGCCTTTTCCTGACAATCCTCTCCAGGCTGCAGTCGTCCCTGCTGCTTGTGCACCTTTTTCTTCCACACTTTCCCCTTCCACATAACTTTCTATTAATGTGCTTTAATACAGCACTTTGGGAACATCCAACTTCTTTTGCAATTACCTTTTGAGGCTTTCCCTCCTTAGGGAGGGTGTCAATAATGGTTTTCTGCACAACTGTCAGGTCAGCAGTCTTTCCCATGATTGTGATTCCTACTGAACCAGACTGAGAGACCATTTAAAGGCTCAGGAACCCTTTGCAGGTGTTATGGCTTAATTAGCTGATTAGAGTGGGACATTTTGAGCCTAGAATATTGCACCTTTTCACAATATTCTAATTTTCTGAGATTGTGGATTTGGGGTTTTCATGAGTTGTAAGCCATAATCATCACAATTATGACAAATCACGGCTTGAACTATCTTGCTTTGCATGTAATGAGTCTATCTCATATATTAGTTTCACTTTTTAAGTTGCATTACTGAAATAAATTAACTTTTGCACAATATTCTAATTTTTGGAGTTCCACCTGTATGTTCTTGGGTATACTGTGGTTTCAGCCTTTACTGCAGCAAAGAGAAAAGGTTTGGACTCTAACTTTTTGAAACAATTGTCTGACCCTCTGCATCTTCCTTCCTTCCTCCCCCTCCTTCATTTGTCATGCTAGCTGTACCTGTCATATTTTTCACTTTATTTATTGGGTTCCTTCTCTCTACCATACAGTCTTAAACATTATTTATGTGGTTTAGTTCAGGAGTAGCCAATCTGGAAGCTTTTAAACATTTTGGACAATAACATCCCTAAACAAAGACCATGCTGTTAGCCATCTATAAAAGTCGCAGTCTAACAGTGCTCAAGAAGAACCTATTAACACATTCTTATAACAACGTTGATTGTGTCTGCTTCTTGTGTAGTGAAATGTGATAGCATTACTGAGAAGGCTTATTTTCAGGCCTAAGATTTATATATGGGGAAAAAAATGTAATTATACGTCACATTATTTAATATATTTCCTTTACTTGTGTTATCCATGTTAACCTGAAATATCAATACCATTTGACCATAAGCATGCAAACCTGTTTTTCAGCTTGTGTCCTGGCTGATTCTTCTTGAGCTAATACCATTTCCCGTTCTGCAGTTATTTGTACACTCTCTCTCAGTGCTTCTTCTAGCTCCTCAATTCGATCATCCTTCTTATGCAAACTATCCTGGAAAATGACAGGACACCAGATGAAGTAGCTTCTAGAGCAAATAGGCCAAGTGCTAGGTCACCCACGAGGGAATTTTCAGCAATGGAATTCCCCAAAGTTATGTTTTCATACAGAAGAAAATCACAGATGTAAAGTGAAGGAAGAGCTGGAGTAAATCCGTAGCCAAGACACAAGTTAGCAAACTGAGATGAGCAATAGCAGTGCAATTAGTGTTAAGACAGCTAGAGACTGGTGGGTAGTTTTTTGTGCAAAAGCACATCTTCACATGCAATTCAGGTTAGTAGGCAGAAGATGTAGATATACAGCAAGCATTACCCTTTTTTCACAGATACCCTCAACCTGACAGTTCAAAAGTAAGAAACCAGAAGAAGCATGAGATGTTGTAAATGACTTAAGAAAAACTGTCTTAAAAACACTCCCCAATATTGAGATCTCTCAAACCCCTTTCCTATAAAGATAATTGATCCACTTGAAAAAATCAGGTGAAAAACTGAAGACAAAGGAATAAAATAAGTTGAACAGTTGAAAAATCCTGTACTATATGACAAGGAACATAATCTTCTCACAATAAAATATGTGTTTACAGATAAAAATGTTACATTAAATATTCATTTAATGCCTGAAAATATAACCAACTAGAGATGATTAATCAAATCTGAAAAATTGAAATGCGTTATAGCAAATGTTGGATCATTTTCTGTTTCTGAACTTGTAAACAAGAAACAGTTGCCTTTCTTAGCTGTTATACCTTCTTTATGCTGATGTAAATGATTGTAATAAAGACTGGATTGATTTGCTGTTACGATAAAATGATCATCTACCAAGTACTTCGGATTCTGCCAATTATATGGTAAGATAATTTCCTAACTGTAGAATCCTACACAGCATTGTAATTACCACAATCATATCAGGGTCTGCTAGGCTTTTCTGAATGAAAGATACCTACAATATGTCCATAAGAGTGATATTGTTAGTTGTGTGAAATATACATTATCAAAATACAATATTAAGATAGGAAAGATAGGAAGGAAAACACTGCATGGAAAAGAGTGGAGCATAAAGCCTTGATTTTAATTAAAAGGAAATGGAAAATGATGGGATGTCAAATCTGAATTCATTTTGCAAACTAAAGCCTGGTATCAGTTTTTAAATTCTTTTAACAGCAAATAATAAAATGCTATTACTTTTGAGAAACTAGCTGGCAAAAATAGACATATTAACACAAAATTGAATATATAAAAAAAATTCCAAAACATTAGAAGAAATGCATTTCTATATATAATTATTTGGTTCTTTTTTAAAATGGGAAACTAGGAGAAAAGTAGAATACAGTGAAAAAGTGAAACCGAAGTAGAAAGATTTGTTCATTTCCTAGTTACTACTAATGGATGTGTATTAGGAAAGACAAGAGCAGAATGCAACATGGATCTAATGGATAAAAAGTGTTGGTATCAGAATATTCTATCAACAAAGATGATCAATTGAATGACCTTCATGGAGCAACTTGTATGGCATCAAGAATACTAGTTCTTTTATGCCTTCTGCAGCTTTGTTGACTACATTCTTATAACGCTGCTAAAAGCCTTAGAATTATACTCAGTCAGTCTGTAAAAAGACAGTCCTAGAAAATTATAGTATGCTGTTTGTTCTGACTACATAGACAGGAAAAATACTCATTAAGTTGTCTACCTTATATCAGAATCACATTCAGTGCCTTTAGTTGTTATCTTCAATTCTGCAAAGAATTGTTTGTCCCAGTACAATACATCTGAATAATTATGTAGAAACATGAGGAATAAAAAGAACAGAGCTACTGTATGTAACAGATTTCCATGTACTCTGCATTGATGATAAGGAGCAATTATTTTTGTAAATAAAATTAATCCGGTTAATTCCCACTTTCAAAAATGTGAAATATATAGAACATTGACAATTTTGTCTCACATAAAATTGGTGGGCCTTAATATTATAATATAATCTGATGAAAATTTAATTTGATGTTTAAATAAATTCTGTATATTACACATTCAGAAATATACACACAAAAACACCTACACTGCTATTCAAAAATTAATGAAAGTGACAACTGTTGCTATCACAAAACAACTAGCTACCAATAAACCATCACTTAAGAATCAGTCATATGTCTAGGTTATACATTAATCCTTTAAATTAGGTTTCTAGCGAAAGGTTTGGATTTTTTGCCTAAAATCTTACTGAATTTGGTGTGAGCCAGTCAGAAGTAAGCCTAGATATAGGACAACCAATTTTGAGCTACTCTTAACTATTATTGCTAGAGTAGCAATTAGATCTACATTTTTGCCATGGAACTGTTAGATACACACTTAGATTTCATAGGAACACAACATCTATTATACATAAACTCATCTTTGTATATGCTTACCACAATATATCACCTGTAAATATTCTGTGATGAATGGGAGGAAATATACACTGAATAAGTGTAAAATGAAGGAGTGTCAGGATGCTTAGAAAGATACTTCTGTACGTCTGATAATATTTACTGAAGTTTTTGTATCTCTCAATATCTCAACAAGCAATTTCTATTGTTTTGCCAGATTTTTAATTTTTTTCTCCATTTCCAAACTTAGACTCTAATATTAGCTGAGTTAAAAAAAAGACTTCATTGTGCCAAGAAGATTTATGCTTTTCTTTTGATCAGAAGCAGTAGCTTTAGATTTAATATTTTAGTGTTACTACTATTTCTACTTCTATTTTAGACTCACAGTTTTACTTGAATTACTTTTTGTCACAACATTTTACTCTTTTACCAAAGAAGTCGCCTGAAATGCTTTCCATTTTTAACTCTTTTGTTCTATGCTGTTTATTGGCTGAACTAAAAACTGACTACTGTACAGTATAATCTGTGTGTGTGTGTGTGTGTGTGTGTGTGTGTGTGTGTGTGTGTGTGTGTGT